GGACAAGAAGCAGTCAGTCTCGGGGCAGATGCCAAGGGATATGGAAGAGAGCCTGGAGATAAGCGCCGAAGGAGTTAGTCTTGGGATAGCCAACGCCGAATATAAACAGTTTCGATTTATTTTCATTTTGATTTAATTTTTCGTGTGACATTGCCTTNTCTCTTATCGAAGATCTCCGAAAGTTCTTCACCGATCGCAGTCGTTTCAATAGTAACGCTAGAACAGCGTATACTTCCATTGAAACGCAATAACAGTGGCCCGTTGCTAGCATTTCCTAAGCAACAGATGGAACTAACTCTTCGATAATGTGTTCCCTATCCCGTCCGAGCGCTTCGAAATTTTGACTCAACGTTGCATTCGCAGCAGTCGTTTCAATAGTAACGTTAGAACAGTTAGCATATATTTCCATGGAAACGCAATAACAGTGGCCCGTTGCTAGCATTTTATTCTTCATCAGTGCAATCGATCTGCTTTAGTTCATTCAAATAATGCCTCGCAGAAGATCAAACTTGGGTCGTCGTACTCGCCGAGCGGAAGCAATGCGTCGAGTATTTGCAAATCAAACTGGAGAAGAACGGGCATCAGCGAACGAGCGAAAGAGACAATATCTTCTATATAAATAAAAATGTAAGTGTTCGTTTGAGTCTTACCGAAGATCTCCGAAACTTCTTCACCGATCGCTTCGAAATTTTGACACAACGTTGCATTCGAACACGTGCGTTTTTTTTTGTGTGCCTATTATGTAGATGTCACACCCGTGACAGGTAAAAACAGTTAAAAGTATTAATTGTATTCAATATAATATACTGTAACGTGTTATACGTCTTCCATCGAATACCAAGAGATCGTTGCCTAGGAATAACCATGGCAACGAACTGTTGAAACAGCGGAACGTTGCCTTGGAATAACCGTGGCAACGAACTGTTGAAACTGCGGAAATAATGCATTTCTGCGGCAACGAGCACAGAACACGTGAAATGGAACCCTGGGCGAAAGTGCCCTCTATTGCGTCCGAAACCGGGTTATAATAGTCCAGCTCCGAAGAATTTTTCGGTGATACTGGACGTGATAATAATTGTACTCGAGACGTGCGTGGAAGTTATTTCGTAAGTATAGTTTATTTTTCATTGTTTTTCTTTTCGTTTTCTAAGAACAGGCTTAGATCGTCGTATTCGCGGAGCGGAAGCAATGCGTCGAGTAATTTCAAATGAAAGTGGGGAAGAACGGGCAGACTGAGCCACAGCAAGGCGTGGCCGGGCATAGCTAGTTTTATAAATACAGAGGTTTTCATTCAATAGTATTGCTAGCTGTGGCTGAAGCGAATGTAATTTTATTTTAGTACAGGTAGGTGGATTTGGTAGAGATAATGACAGTAAGATATTTTCAGAATGTGCTATGGGGAAAGCCTTCAATGGAAACAAATTTAATATTCCTGCTCAACAGAACATCATTGGAACAGACATTGAAATGCCCTTTTATTTTTGGGGGGACAAAGCATTTCCTTTGTGAACGAATTTTATGAGGCCCTATGCTCGTAGACAACTCAACAATGAAAAACGACTCTTTAACTATCGCTTGTCTAGAGCTCGGCAAACTGTAGAGCGTGCACTTGGCATTCTGGTGAGAAAATTTGGACTGTTTACTCGTTCTGTATCAACAAGTTTAAAGTTAGCTGAGGCTTCAATAAAAAGTGCATGTGTATTACATAATTATACACGGCAGCGGCAGAACGAAACAGAAAGAAACTTAGAGACAGAGTTCTTAGAACAAACCAATGTTCCCCCTCTTATCGGTTTGAGGCCAACACCAGCTCATAGGGGAGGAACAGAAGCTATGGAGACAAGAAATAAACTGAATGCCTACTTCTCGAGATGATGAAACACAGAAGCAATCGAAACAAGAAATAAACTGTTCACTTCAAGGGGACGATATAATTTAAAAAGAAATTATTTTTCCGTTTTGTGTATAATTTTTTCATTATTTCATTGAGGCGGTAGCCAGAAAAAAGGCTCATAGGTCTGTGGGCTCTTTTATCGGAGAACTATCCATTAGCTGCATTTGTCAGTTATCTGAAAGTGTCTGAAGTTTGGTGATTTCAGATTGTGTGTCAACAACACAACAATCAGCTGTGTTATAATAATTTTAAGCCTCTTAAAAACAATAAAATAAATTAATAAAATATCATACTTACCGTCTGTAGCTAGTTCTTTGGCTATTTCCTTCCACAAACTGCTGGAAATTGTGGTTTGCCTCTTGTGGATCATAAATTTCACGCTGATTGCGCACCAACAAAATAAGATGTTCTACATCCATGTTAATACTCAAAGTCTTTTGACATCCATGGTATCAGCATGATAAATGATGGACCAAGACTGGAGAAAAATTCAACCTGTTAAGTCACGGACTTGACGTATGACTGGACAGGACTGAGTTGGAGGTGACTGGTTCGGTGTGCAAGCGCATGATCAGTCCCGATAACAAATGCATTTGTTTGACCGTGTGCTGAATCCAAGAGTGTCAGACTCGACTCGACTGGATGTGACAGGACTGGCTTGGTGTGAAACGGGCCTAAGATGGCTTGGTGAAGCTGAAATGTTGGGTAACAAACTGCAACCAATATAGTGACTGTATTAGATTTGGAAATGAGTTATTCAACATACATGTTACATAAGAGGGTCCAGATATATTTTGCAACAAGAGTTTGTCACTTATCCCTATAAATTGTAGATTTCACTTGGCTAAACTGTTATATCACATTCTACAAAAATATGGCATTTTATGATGCATAGTGTGACATGTTGCGCAACGGAGAAGCCCCCCCTCCAGCAGTGACGCGGCGGGTGAGTCAGCGCTCCGTCACCCCCTCCCTCCGCACGGTGAAGTAACGCGCAACGCGCGGTGACGTAAGACGGCGTGAGGTAACAGCGTTGCTAGGCTATACGCAGACACTGTTACGTGGCACGCAACGACGCTGTTGACGTGGGCAACAGGCAACAGCGAACGGAATAAAAGCCGGCTGAGCGGTAAGTGCGAGCAGAGTTGTAATGTGGCTATTGCCGAGTTCAGTTGGAGAGTTCTTTTCACACTATACGGTTTTGACCGCACGGCAAAAACTCGAACGGAGAAAATCCGAATGGGCATAAAGTTCACATTATACTGTTTATGCACGGCTTTTTTCCATCACAAGCTCAGTGTGGTTGAGTGGTGTGCTGTTTGATTATAATGAATCGTAAACAAATTATTGCATATATAATCGTCGACGAAAGAGACGACAACGCAAACGTCATGTTTGGGTGCATCCTATCAATGAAAGGAGAGAGAAAGTGGGCTTATTTTATACCTTATTTGAGGATCTACGGAGAGATGAAAATAAGTTTTTCAATTATTTTCGAATGTCCATTGTCTCCTTTGATGAATTATACGAAAAACTCAAGGATGCCCTTCAGCGCCAAAACACACAATTTCTGACATCGGAAGTGTACCATGGCAAATGGCAAAAATATAAACTTAAATTACTAAACTGTAGCTAAACTAAATTAAGCTTTAAAAAAGTGTTTTTGTATACTGATTATATATTTAAAGAAAATAAATGCAATACCTATGTATAAATAATAGTATTAGTCAAAATTTACTTACCAAAAGCATTTTTATCCTTGGCATCAAGAGTATCAAAATCTGGGAGTAGTTCTACGCAAACTTCATGCCAGGCATCTTTTGTAGCATTTCTATCTTTGTAATTGTCAAGAAATGTCTCCCACAGTACAGGTCTGGCTTCCACAAGTGTAACCAAAACTTCTGCATCAATATCTTCCATTATTTAAACAACAAAAAAGTAATATGTAACCAAACTGCAACTACAGGGGCTCGAGGGCAACTGACCGTATGATTTAAAACTGTCTAATGTGAAAGGGTGCATTTGGTCACGTACACAACTGAGTTATCGGTCGCCGTCCGGGCGCCGTCACCGTGTAATGTGAAAGGGGCCATGCTCTTCTTCACTCCACTGAAAGAATGTCGCAGTTTGAGTTTTTGCCGTGCGGTCAAAACCGTATAGTGTGAAAAGAGCCTTAAAGTGTATCAGCGCCGAAGACAGTTAGTTCTCCAGTCAGCAGTGAGGCAGTGAACGAGTTCTCTAGGCAGCAGCCCACAGTTGGAGTATAGCAGCCGTCGCGGAAAGAAGAACCGGACGTGTGTGTAATTGTGTAATTGGGAGTGTGTGATACAGGGACACTTACATAGCTCCCCTACTGTAAACGTGTAAACTACTGAAGACAGAGTGAATTGATTTGTAGCCGTGATTTGTAGGTTGTTAAATAAACAAATTAACAACGGCGTCTTCAGTAACTAAAACATGTTACAATATGTTTGGAGGCTCTGTTGTGATACCAAATATTGTAGCACAAGGGGAGAGAGAGGAATGGGACTGATAATAGTCATTCTTTCAATTATGAATCAGAGTTGAGCTCTTAGGTCTCTATAATACATGTAATGAAAGACCTTTGTCATGGTCTGTAAGCATTTGAGAACCCTTGGTAATTAGGCTCTTTTATTTCCATAAAGATTTTAAATTTTGGAAGAACTCTTATATTAAACAAAGTTATATAAAAAGAGTACAAAGAGATATTGGGTTTTCAGACTTTATCCATCGTCCTGGTTTTAAGATAACTAAGATAAACACAACGTTTCGGAAACAGATCCAGTTTCCAAAACGTTGTCATTTCTTAGTTATCTTAAATACCAGTACGATGGATAAAGTCCAAAAACCCAATATCTCTATGTGTTATACACCATCGTCAGAATCCTATAGTAACTAAATAAAAAGAGTAGTTTTAAACATTCAATCCTGTGAATTATGTGCATGTATAATACACTCTGTATAACATTAAAGAATCAGTCATATATTTTATATACGTGTAGTAGTCTCTTCCACATGTGACTGAGCGAAGCTAGCAGCAAACACACATTCGTCAGTTTTATTATAAAAATAAGAAAATTAAGCCTGACAAGATTGGAATCATATTTATTCATACAGTACAGATTTGCTGTGTGAGCATAATATAAAGCAGAACACTTGCCTGTCTTAAAAAAAAAGAGGGGATATCCAGAAAGTAAAGATACAAGTGCAGTAAAAAATGCTACCATAATAAGACAAACAGCAGTCATTAGAGTAACTGCTTCCCATTATCTCTCAGCCATATTCCATAAATGGTTGAATTCTGATTCAGAATTTTCATTGTTTCATGTGAACAACTGTAGGTCAATGCCAGTTTTTCACAGTCATTGCATGTCTCTCCTCCACACATTAACTGTAATTATGGACATGTTCTTGGTCATATTGCACTTTGTGTCTATAGAAACTAGTGAGGTGGAGCACTATACTCGTAATTCAGGATGCAGCCAGAAGGTCATGGGTTTGATTCCCCATGAGGTCACTGTATTTTTCAACTGACCTAATCCTTCCAGCTATACTGTGGCCCTAGGGTCGCTTGGCCTCTAACAGAAATGAGTACCAAGAATCATCCTGGAGTTAAAGGGCCATCTCACCCAACTGTCTAGAAAATGTGGGAGCCTTGATGTCTCACTGGCCTCCACAGCATGTTACAAGAATAGCCTCTTTTTTTTTTTACTGCCAAAATAACAGGAGTTGCTTTGTGTGCTGCACTCAAAGACAGCTATGGTCACAAATACCAGTCAATCACATGAACATTAACAAAGTTGAGAATCTCACAATGAACAAACGCCATATTCCTGTGTGTGAAATCTTACAAGTGAATATCAGTGTGAGTCATTTAAAGACAATCATTTATGTTACCTTCAGTATTGAAAAAAGTGAGCACATGATGCATCCAAAGATGCTGGATGAAATATGAACCACCAAAGCTTATGCCATCTTGCCATTTTTAATGTCTTGTGTTGCCACTGGAAATGCAGGATACTGCAGTCTATTCACGAACTTTACTGGAAACCTCTTGTCTTTATTCAGTTTCATACTGTTTGCATATGCCCATTCTGGAAACATCTAAAATTTATGAAGAGCTCTGCAGTGATGGGATGTAAGAGAACAGTAGGATGTGAGTCAGCAAGGAAAGGTTGGATTTAGTGGGTCAGAGTATAGGAGGCGAATACTTGCTACTTATGTGTGGTATTGGTGCAGGAAGGCACTACATACTTTCAGTACCTCTTGCAATGACTGATGTTCCACCAGTTCACATGCCTCATCTAATAGCGCCCATTTAAAACGTTGATGTTCTTCTGATAACTTAACTGGTGTGTTATGCTTGATCAATTCTGCGAGGAGATAAACAGCTGTCTTAGGTTTTCCTCTTACAACATACTGTAATGAAGAAAGGTGATCAGTGAAACTATACAATAAATCTCCAAGGTAAATACAGGGGATGGACAAAAATATGGAAACACCTTGTGAAATGCATGCCTGAATTGAAGTGTTTATTTTAGCGACGTTTGTAGGTGACGCTGTCTTATCTGCCCAATACCACTATCTGTACAATCACCGCAATATGTTGCAAGCTTCATTTGTTGTCGAGACAGTGTTCTGTGCAGTTTTTAGTGCATCATATCAGAGCTAACAGAATTCGAACACGGGCAAATTGTTGGGGCACATGTGGTGGGTGCTTCTGTAACCAAGGTAGCCAAGGTTTTTGGTGTTTCGCCAGGCACATTATCCAAGATTATGACCTCATACAGGAGGACTGGTAAAACCGCATCCGATAAACACCAGCGTGGATGGAAATGTGTCTTGAGTGATCGAGACAGATGAACATTGCATAGGTTCGTGACGAAAAATAAGAAGACTACAGCTGCAAAAGTGGCTGCTGAACTGAATGTCACACAAACCCTGTCAGCACCAAAACAGTATGAAGGGAACTCCATAAGCAAGGTATTTCTGGATGAGCTGTAATTCCAAAGTCACTCATCAGTGATCAAAATGCCACTAAGAAGAGAGTGTGCTGCCAAAGTCATAAAATCTGGACTGTGGAGCAATGGAAGATGGTCAATTGGTCGGATGAGTCCAACTTCCACTGTTTCTGACTTCTGGCCAAGTTTACGTCTGGATAACGCCATCCCAAGCTTACGATCCACATTGTTTGCTGCCAAGAGTGAAACATGGCTGGGGTTAGATCATGGTATGGGCAGACATATCGTGGTATTCTGTCAGACCCATCATTACCCTGCAAAGCCACTTCACTGCCAACGACTATGTGACCATTTTGGGCGACCAGGTCCATCCCATGGTGCAAACTTTGTTCCTTAATGGTGATGCCATTTACCAAGCCAACAATGCCTGTGTTCGCATAGCTCACATTGTCCAGGACTGGTTTTCTGAGCACGAAGATGAAGTGTCACGTCTGCCATGGCCCCCACAATCGCCAGATATCAATATGTGTATTATTGAGCCTTTGTGGTCTGTTTTGGAGAGCAACTGCGTGCACACTATCCACCTCCATCATCGTTAACAGAACTTGCCAATGTTTTGCAGGAAGAATGGTACAAGATTCCCTTGCAAATCATATAGGACCTCTATCCATTCGAAGGAGACTGCAGGCAGTTCTGCAAGCCTGAGGTTGTCCTACACCATATTAGTCATGGTAATGTGTTTTTTTTTTGGGTGTTTCCATATTTTTGTCCATCCCCTGTATATGTGAAAAATGTTACATGTGCATAAATACATAGTATTAACTGTTGTAGGAAGCTGGATGATAATTGTGAAAATACAATGCAAAAATTTCACAGCTAATGCTAGTGTGGCATTGTCCTCACCATTCCACTACTTGCACTGTCTTTCTGCACACAGTCTTGTCATCCACCTCCCCACAGTCCTAAATGAAAATGGTGGAAGAAACTGTTGCACCAACATCTCTGTGGAGTTGATATTATGTGTCATTCTGTAACTGCTGGCAAATATGTAATTTGACCAACACTCTGGGGGGTGGGGGTCACTAACCTTTGGTATATGTAGCCACCTTGAAAAGTATTTACCTTCTGACTTTATTTAAGCATTCCAGTGCCTCTGGTATAAGTAGAAATACTGGTAGGAATGCTAAAGTGATTTTGGTACACCCATTATATTGCTCTGGATGTCTCAAGTGATTCAGAATGAGATTTTTAGTGTTGAGAACACAAGGTCACAAAGAGCCAGTGACTACAGTGATTTAATAATACTGATATTTATTTTCTTGGACAAAACAAGGTCAACTGCCATAAAGCAAAATCTACTAGTGTGGTCGAAGATTTTGTCTTCAACTGAAGTGCTGCAATATCATTCACTCACTAACTCACAGAGCTGAGCATTTATTGAGAAGCCACCAATTGTGCAGCTACTCAAGAACTTCCCAGCATTTTATGGAACTCGAATGTTCATTACCATGTTCACAAGAGCTCTCCACTGGTCCCTATCCTGAGCCAGAACAATCCAATCCATACCATCCCATCCTCTCTCTCTAAGACTTCTAACATTCCATGTAGCTCAGGCCATTTATCCAGAGGATCTGTCCAGGTCCAAGGCTTTGTGTGCATTTTCGTAACAAAGTTATTTTTTACAGTGAGGAGTTGTTAGCCTCACACCCAACCCTCAAGCTGGAGGACCAGCCCTTGTTGGCTGTTCATGACTGCTTATTCAATATATTCGCAGCTTCGCTCCATACCTGGAGGGCGTCTCCTCCATCCGCAACCTTAGGATGTGCCATGCCACGGTGACAAGGGACCCACTGAACATGACTGCAATATACGAGGGCTATTCTGAAAGTAACCGCCGTTTATTTTAGGTAACCAATGTAGGAGCAGAGGAGAGCTTGTGCATGCATGCAGGCAGAAGGCCTGGTTTACGGTTTTGGAGGAGTAAATTCATAATGAGTAATTCCCTTCATATCTTATATGCAAATAGCGTGTGTCTGACATTTGCAAAGAAGTTTCAGAAATAAACCTGTTAACTTTTCCATGTCTGTCCATTTATCTGAAAGCAAAAACTCAATAATCACTTAACCAATTTTTGTGAAGTTTGCTACTATGGAATTTAATAAAATCTTTCTCAACACATTTCAGTTTTGTTGAAATTCATCACCAATAAAGAACATTTTACATAAACACTTACATGCGTTTCTGTGCACATCTCATGCACAGCCAACTGACTGCATATTTAGTGGAGCGGAAAATGCTTCATATAAAAGTTGTAGATAAAAACGAAACATGCATTCCATGCCCAATACACTTTCATCAAATTCTTGTAGGTCTTATATAATTAAACAAAATTAAGTTTTATAATGTGCCACTTCGCCGGTCATGGTAGCCGAGCGGTCTAAGGCATGCACTGTCTTCGCTCGCTCTGAAGCCGGGATCGTGGGTTCGAACCCCACTCAGGGCATGGATGTTTGTGTGCGTTTTTCTGTGTTTGTGTACAGCTAGAGGCCTTGCGATGAGCTGATCACCCGCCCAAGGAGTCCTACCGTATGTATAAGATCTAGTAAAACCTAAGAGAGTTTCATGGAGGTAGGCCTAGGCACAAATGAGGGCTGTAGCGCCAATGGGGGAAAAAAAAAATATGCCACTTCATAACTCAAGGTAATTTTGATAAAATTTTATAAGGAGGTCCTTGCTCATGCATTTTGTAAGATGGTATCAGCATCCAGTTGCATTCTTTATCACTTTACATGCTTTCATCCATCTTTAATGCAACTCTATTTACAATTACTCCTTACTTTAAAATATTAAAATTACAGTTAAACTGCTATATATTTGGCCATCCCCAGGCAACTGTTCATTTGTTGAAATTGCTACACTGCATTAGTTCTTAAGTTAAAATATTCCACTGTTATTATATTTTCGTTGTTCACATTAAAACACAAATGCTTGAGACATCACTCTTTATCTTTTCTTGTGCAACATCAGTGTTTTTTGTGTTGTTTTGTTTAGCCCTTTGAATATTGCACACTGATATTCATGGGGCTAAACAAAATAACATGCTTGTTATATCATACACAACCCACAATTCCTTTTAAAAATTAGTCTAAAAACACACACATACACATTCATATATTCCTAAAAGATAACCTTTCTTCTATCAAGACCATATTACATGTGTAACATAAAAGTTTCCATTGAAATCTGTCCTTCCACATTTAAATATACATATAAATAATGCAAAGATACCTACTTGAATTGTTTTATTAAAATCTGCAAGAATGCACAGATCAGTCTTTGTAAGACCAGTTTCTTCTTCGGTTTCTCTTAGAGCAGTTTCTAAGTCTGATTCCCCAGGATCAACATGTCCTAAATAAAACAATTCCATCAAATCACTGGAATGCACCTTACCTATATATATAACATACTTGCCAGAAAATGTAATTTATATTTCAGTCAAAGGTTAATGAGTAAGAATTCTAAATTATGACAGGGTATAAACAATATTCACTTTTTTTAGTCTAACGAATGAGCAAAAAGTTGACTTGGAAGTGGAAATTATATGGCTTCCTTAAAGAATTTTAATTGCTTTTTATCATCTTCATGTACAGTTATTCCACAGTCTTCTCTGAAGGCTAATTCTATGTGTAAATCAAGGTATTGGGAATTATCAGTGTGTGTTCTGTTGTAGGAGTTGATAAGATATTCTGCATTTGTCAGGTACTGGGGAAAAGATAGAAGTGCAATGGCACAGTAAATCATCTACGTGCAGACTTATATTATTATTTGTGACTCTTATTTTTGTAATTTCTGTTAAATGTTCACATTGGTGGCTATGTAAGAGCTAGGATAGTTCAGTCAGAATCATGACAGGCTATGGGCTGGAAGGCCAAGGTTTGATTCCCAGTAGGGGCAAGAGATTTTCTCTTCTTGACAGTAGCCAAACCAGCTCTGGGGCCTACCCAGCCTCATATTCAGTCACAGGTCACAATACATTCAGTTGTTAGCACTATAGTATATGTGTTGGTCAACATTGTGGCCATCATCGGGTACATTCTTGATACTGCCCATGAGCTGGTAAGACTGATAGTATTTTCATTCATTCATTAATTTATTCAGCATTCCATAAATCCTTACATGGTTAAACACCAATGGATATAGAAATAGTCAACATGAGTAAACATGATCACATACTGCATCACAATTGTGTAATGTCGTCGTCATCATCATCATCATCATCATCATCATCATCATCATCATCAGTAATCTGTCAAGACGACAGGTCCACAGTCTCTTCCACAACAATTCCTCCACTTAATGCGCTCTAG